GTTTGTTTTTATCTGCCACTTTGTGCACATTCAATGTTTATTTCATTATTAATATTTTAGATAAATAAATATTTGAAAAAATTTAACACAGGTTAAATGGTTATTCCATTAACCTTGAAATCATTTTATGGCTTAAAAGCCTATGAACTTGCTATTGCTGTCGTCCACAAAGGCCGCTCAATTTCTGCTGGCCATTATTTAAGTTTGTGTAGAATCAGAGATGATTGGTACAACTTTGATGACCAATATGTTAAAAAAATTAACATTATGAATGAGATTGTGTCCACTGGTACAATGGAGAATGTGTACATCCTTTTTTATAATTGTACCAAAACTTTTGTATAATGTTAAGGTGGCCTCTGAAAATGTGGCAAGGATATTTGCTGAGAGTACACCGGTATGATTATGTGGTGTGAAACTGAGTAGGCCAACTTGATGACATTTTTGGGGCATTGTTAATTTTATCAAGCATCCACCACATTGGTGGTCATACATATTTGTTTGTTTTTTTCTGCCACTTTGTGCACATTCAATGTTTATTTCATTATTAATATTTTAGATAAATAAATATTTGAAAAAATTTAACACGGGTTAAATGGTTATTCCATTAACCTTGAAATCATTTTATGGCTTAAAAGCCTATGAACTTGCTATTGCTGTCGTCCACAAAGGCCGCTCAATTTTTGCTTGCCATTATTTAAGTTTGTGTAGAATCAGAGATGATTGGTACAACTTTGATGACCAATATGTTAAAAAAATTAACATTATGAATGAGATTGTGTCCACTGGTACAATGGAGAATGTGTACATCCTTTTTTATAATTGTACCAAAACTTTTGTATAATGTTAAGGTGGCCTCTGAAAATGTGGCAAGGATATTTGCTGAGAGTACACCGGTATGATTATGTGGTGTGAAACTGAGTAGGCCAACTTGATGACATTTTTGGGGCATTGTTAATTTTATCAAGCATCCGCCACATTGGTGGTCATACATATTTGTTGTTTTTTTCTGCCACTTTGTGCACATTCAATGTTTATTTCATTATTAATATTTTAGATAAATAAATATTTGAAAAAATTTAACACAGGTTAAATGGTTATTCCATTAAGCTTGAAATCATTTTATGGCTTAAAAGCCTATGAACTTGCTAGTGCTGTCGTCCACAAAGGCTGCTCAATTTCTGCTGGCCATTATTTAAGTTTGTGTAGAATCAGAGATGATTGGTACAACTTTGATGACCAATATGTTAAAAAAATTAACATTATGAATGAGATTGTGTCCACTGTTACAAGGGAGAATGTGTACATCCTTTTTTATAATTGTACCAAAACTTTTGTATAATGTTAAGGTGGCCTCTGAAAATGTGGCAAGGATATTTGCTGAGAGTACACCGGTATGATTATGTGGTGTGAAACTGAGTAGGCCAACTTGATGACATTTTTGGGGCATTGTTAATTTTATCAAGCATATGACCACATTGGTGGTCATACATATTTGTTGTTTTTTTCTGCCACTTTGTGCACATTCAATGTTTATTTCATTATTAATATTTTAGATAAATAAATATTTGAAAAAATTTAACACAGGTTAAATGGTTATTCCATTAAGCTTGAAATCATTTTATGGCTTAAAAGCCTATGAACTTGCTAGTGCTGTTGTCCACAAAGGCCGCTCAATTTCTGCTGGCCATTATTTAAGTTTGTGTAGAATCAGAGATGATTGGTACAACTTTGATGACCAATATGTTAAAAAAATTAACATTATGAATGAGATTGTGTCCACTGGTACAAGGGAGAATGTGTACATCCTTTTTTATAATTGTACCAAAACTTTTGTATAATGTTAAGGTGGCCTCTGAAAATGTGGCAAGGATATTTGCTGAGAGTACACCGGTAGGATTATGTGGTGTGAAACTGAGTAGGCCAACTTGATGACATTTTTGGGGCATTGTTAATTTTATCAAGCATCCGCCACATTGGTGGTTATACATATTTGTTTGTTTTTTTCTGCCACTTTGTGCACATTCAATGTTTATTTCATTATTAATATTTTAGATAAATAAATATTTGAAAAAATTTAACACAGGTTAAATGGTTATTCCATTAAGCTTGAAATCATTTTATGGCTTAAAAGCCTATGAACTTGCTAGTGCTGTCGTCCACAAAGGCTGCTCAATTTCTGCTGGCCATTATTTAAGTTTGTGTAGAATCAGAGATGATTGGTACAACTTTGATGACCAATATGTTAAAAAAATTAACATTATGAATGAGATTGTGTCCACTGGTACAAGGGAGAATGTGTACATCCTTTTTTATAATTGTACCAAAACTTTTGTATAATGTTAAGGTGGCCTCTGAAAATGTGGCAAGGATATTTGCTGAGAGTACACCGGTATGATTATGTGGTGTGAAACTGAGTAGGCCAACTTGATGACATTTTTGGGGCATTGTTAATTTTATCAAGCATATGACCACATTGGTGGTCATACATATTTGTTGTTTTTTTCTGCCACTTTGTGCACATTCAATGTTTATTTCATTATTAATATTTTAGATAAATAAATATTTGAAAAAATTTAACACAGGTTAAATGGTTATTCCATTAAGCTTGAAATCATTTTATGGCTTAAAAGCCTATGAACTTGCTAGTGCTGTTGTCCACAAAGGCCGCTCAATTTCTGCTGGCCATTATTTAAGTTTGTGTAGAATCAGAGATGATTGGTACAACTTTGATGGCCAATATGTTAAAAAAATTAACATTATGAATGAGATTGTGTCCACTGGTACAAGGGAGAATGTGTACATCCTTTTTTATAATTGTACCAAAACTTTTGTATAATGTTAAGGTGGCCTCTGAAAATGTGGCAAGGATATTTGCTGAGAGTACACCGGTATGATTATGTGGTGTGAAACTGAGTAGGCCAACTTGATGACATTTTTGGGGCATTGTTAATTTTATCAAGCATCCGCCACATTGGTGGTTATACATATTTGTTTGTTTTTTTCTGCCACTTTGTGCACATTCAATGTTTATTTCATTATTAATATTTTAGATAAATAAAAATTTGAAAAAATTTAACACAGGTTAAATGGTTATTCCATTAAGCTTGAAATCATTTTATGGCTTAAAAGCCTATGAACTTGCTAGTGCTGTTGTCCACAAAGGCCGCTCAATTTCTGCTGGCCATTATTTAAGTTTGTGTAGAATCAGAGATGATTGGTACAACTTTGATGACCAATATGTTAAAAAAATTAACATTATGAATGAGATTGTGTCCACTGGTACATCCCCCATCCCCTACCCCCCCCCCTGAAAGCCAACTCCTCTTATTTACCTCCCCTTAGTTTAAAATCGTTTCAAACTACATTATCTGCCCCTTACAGCCGTCACTAAACCCGGCTCTAGGATTGTAAACATTTAGCGTGAACCACAGTTCACCAGACCATGTAAGGGTGGGGGTGGTAGGGAGCACGCTTACAGCTTGGTGTTTTCTATCGTCTCCAAGAAGAGAATTATATATATAGATAATATAAGTGTTAGTGTGTCATTCCTTCCTTCTGTCATCGCTATAGATTTTGGAACCATAAAAGTAAACATTGCACCATTTTTTTTTTGTGAATTATAATTTTATTTCAAACTCACTAAAATTGCAATCAGCAGACATCCAAAAAAACATTTAAAATATTAAGTGTAAGCATTTTAACATGAACTTTTAGACCGCTAAAAATGGAAGATTATATACTTTTAGTACTTCAGGTATAATTCTTTCTACTTGCATTTGAAAATTAAAAAGAAATGTTAATACACAAAAAGCGAGCTTACTTTAATAAAACAAAGGAATATTTTATCACAAAACAAGTCTGGAGTATTTTGCATTCCACTGCCCACCTTATTTTCCACAAGCTCTATGATCTAAAAAAAGCTTTTAAACATGACCACAGTTAGCAACTACAAATTATGAAGAATAAAGGAATGTAATTAGACATTTTAGGTGACACTTAAAAAGAATAAAGCTTTCAAAACTATACAGACCATATTCTATTATCATCCATAGAAAACGTGTTTTAATTTGTTGTTTTTTTTAAATTTACTTTGGAAACTCATATTTTTTTGTGCCACAAATTATCTTTAATCCTTACATTATAGCATATAAACAGCAACTCAAATAATTTTTATATGTGATAATGCTAATTTGATCATTTCTTTTACAATATGCTTATAATATAAATGTATTATCTTAGACAACTATTCAAATTCAACAGCAATGGTCAGGCTTACTTTTATTTACATATGCACTTGTTCATTTAACTTCTTCAATCATTCATGTAATGTAATACTATTGAAAGAAAGATGAAATTAAAATCATTATGATCAACTAGTTCAGTAAATATAAAGTTAAGCCAAATGATGTTGGGGTGTGAGGAAGAAAGATGATTTAAAGTTTTAATGCAATCAAATGCTTCAGTACTTTATAAAGTTTTTAATTGTACAGTGTCAAATCTTACAAAAAATAAAACTTTGGCAATATGCTATTTCTTGATTTAAAATTTAAAGAACCTTGAAGTATTAATCTAGTCTATACATTTGAAAATTTGATACATTGTTATACCGTACCAGAAATTATTCTTACAAGTTCTTATTTTAAATGCCAAGCTTTCAGTTAGCAGTTTTTAATTTAAATTTTTAAAACTTAAACAGGAATTGCAAACAAAAATTTGTACATTTTAGTTTAGTACAAATGGAAAAAAGTATGAAAGTGATAAGACATTTCAAAGGCAGAATAACAAACATTAACCTCAATAGTTCACAACATTGTACCTTGTAATATAAACATTCTCGTCCTAAATTTAATTTGTTTAGATACTGACTAGCAATATTTCTAAAGAGAAATGTTCATTTTTAATATAGATACATTACTATATAAATGAAGATGTACTAATTTGAGAATAAAGTAACCTCTGTTCAGTTTAATACATCAAGTGATTTAAAACCAATGGTTACAAATAGTTCTAAGTAATGAACTTGCAGATTTAAAAACAGACCATAGATAATTAATTACATTTAATATCACTGACATTACCACCGTATGGAAGAAATGAAGCCAAAATTATTTAAGTTTTAGATATTAAATGTCAGAAACTACAAACTGAAATTCAGTTTGGCATCTAGCTATATCTAAAATGTTTGTTTCTATTTTCTTTAACTTTTCATTAACTTTTTCTAGCCAAAATAATCTCAGTTGATTAGACTGATTCATAGCCTTGCTTGCATGATCTCTTGCGCCCGATGAGGTAAGCAATCAAAAACATGATCACAAGCGCAGCCAGAGCAGCACCAACAGCTATAGGGACAACACTGCTGGTCTCTTCATCAGCCGAGCATTCCGAAACATTTCCACTCTTCAAATCAGCATTTTTATTGTCAGCATTGAAAGCCCGGTATTTCAAGTTTTTAGTGTACAGCTTCACATTCGTTCCAAGGTTAATAGATGAATTAGAATCACAGCGATAGTATCCATCAACCTTTGCCTTTAAGAAGTCACTGCTAGAATATCTAAGTGTTTCGGTTTTGTTGATAGCTTCCCCATGGAAGTATTGTTCACCATGTTTATATGTGAAAGTGACATTGCTGTCCCAGTACACATCCTTAGCAAGCTCAATGATGTATTCCAGCACCCTGTCTTTATTGAACTGGAAACTAATTGTTGCATTCATGTTGTTTGTACAATTCAGCTCAGATTTTGCGTCGGCCGGTACATTAAATGTCTGAGTAATGTTCACTTTTTCATTTTCGTAGGTGATGTCAAAAGACAACTGGGCTTCAAAGAGAAGACGAGTGACGTTGTCGGAAGAGCAGTTCACACTCATTGTAGGGAATGAGGTCTTAGGTGTGTTCTGCTTGGGAGAAGAGGTGGGAGTGGACCCAGAGGTGGTTGGAGTGAGAGGAGTTGTTTTATCTTGATCACAGTCAGTTCCTCCACGGAATGAATCGTTGCCAATTCTCCCAGCCTCGACATGCAAGTTGAAAATAGTGGCAACCGCGGAGAAGGTGTAATTCTCCTCTGAGATATCCTTAAATTTATGCTCAACAGATGCCCGACATAGAAAAGATTCATTCTTAGTAAAATTGCCAACAGAGTCGCCAACCGTGCTCACATTAATGGGTTTAGTAAGATTGAGATGTGTGAAGGCTTTGTCGGCATCATATGAAAGAGAAGGCTGCACAGTCCAGCTGCTGTTGTCAGGGACAAAAAGTAGTTTAAATTCCACAGAGTCTTTGAGAGTCAATACAAGTTCGGTGCAGCTTGACCCTTCTTTCACCGTTGCATCAGTGATGTTGAATGGGACAGAATCATTTTTTATCTTTGAACTAACATCCAGAGTGATTGTACCATCAATTTCCAACAAAATGCAGTCTGATATATTGAACGTTTTGGCTTGTGCTGCAATGAAAAACAGGGCTAAAATAAAAATCTTCATTTTGTATAAGTACTTGGCACTAGTGATGTGTAGATGTGGGAAGCAAAAATGGAGCTTGGACCAGGTGTTACAAATCTATAAGATGTTAAAATGCGCCTTTCGTGCAATGAACAATGAATTACACAGGGTTGTGTAACATTTCCTCACCATCTCCTCTCATCTTTTGTGTCCTTACTCACCGCACCATGCTGTGCTTTTCAGTGCATCGCAGTGTCTTTTATAAGTAATAGAGTAGGGTTTGTTTATATAACGACATAAAGTTATTTTATAGTCGCCACTTTTTTTTACTCTTTTGCATAACGTAAAGAAAATATTAAATACACGCACATTCCTAAAACGTATTAAAAGGATCAATGTCAAATATCATTTTCGTTTATATTCCTAGAAAAAGTGGATACATTTTCATAACAGTAGGTCGAAAAACGAATTAATTCAGCTTTTTTTGTAATTTTTTGCAAGGGGGGTAATTAAAAATAAATTTAACTCATCAATAATTAAAGTTAATTTTTTTTATTACTACCGCATTGATTATTTATATGTTAAGGTTCATAATTAAAATAGAAAAATGTTAAGATTATTTATATTATTTTCTAATTAGTCTATGATCTCTCAAAATCACTATTTTTACTTTCTCGTATATACGAAGTATACAGAAAGTATTGTAATCGTGCACAAAAATCACTTAAAATTTTAACAATTTTCACCGTATTACACCTCAGTCCTTCATCACATCCGAAGTATAGAGGACTTATTTTAATCGGGCAAAAATTATCAATCCAGATTTATCAAAATTAAGAGGTTTTATGCGTAATCCAGTCTGAAAAACTGGGCTTTGCAATTCTGTCCGTATGTCTGTGTGTCTGTCTGTCTGTCTGTGTGTAAACACGATTACTTGAGTATCGTTACAGCTAGGTTGATCAAATTTCATATATAAGTATTTTATCAAAATCGTAGATCCGTATCAACTTTTGAGCGATTTCCGATAACCGAGTACTATTTCAGATAGATAAATGAAATTTCACATGTAAGTATAAGATCTAATTCTCTACCTTCTGTTAAATTTTGAGTAATTTCCGTTGACCGGAAGTAGTAATTTACGCTACGTCCGATTTCTCAAAAAACGAATGTAAATTTTTAAAGTACTAATAATATTGCGCACTATTATGCACTTTTTTTAATTTGGCGTTCACTTGGTGTGCAATTCTTTTGTCTACGAGATTTTATTCTATTTTTAAAACTTTAAGTATTTAAAATGGATTAAAAATCATGTCTATAGCCCGAGTTCCCATCCCCTGTTGTTTTATAAAAGAATATTCGAGAAAGTTTAGGGGAGATCACTCCCGGTTTATTTGTTTTTGTTTTTCGGTGTTAACAGATTGTGAAATTTTAGAATTATAGTATAGAGAATGCTGGAAAGGCTCTCTCTGGGCGCGGAAGCCTCGGAAAGCGTGTTTGCCGTACATTTATTTGCATCGCATTGTTTTATTGTAAGTTATGGAGTAGGATCTATTTAAGTGACTTAAATTGTTATGCTGGAAAGGCTCTCTTTGGGCGCGGGCGCCTAGGAAAGCGTGTTGTTCGGTGGTTATTCTAATGTTGCGGTTGTGTTGTGGTTGTGTTGTGGTTGAGTTGTGGTTGTGTTGTGGTTGTGCTGTGGTGTTGTTGTGTTGTGTTTGTGTTGTGTTGTGTTGTGGTTGTGTTGTGGTTGTGTTGTGGTTGTGTTGTGGCTGTGTTGTGGTTGTGTTGTGGTTGTGTTGTGGTTGTGTTGTGGTTGTGTTGTGGTTGTGTTGTGGTTGTGGTTGTGTGGTGGTTGTGGTTGTGTTGTGGTTGTAGTTGTGTTGTGGTTGTGTTGTGGTTGTGTTGTGGTTGTGTTGTGGTTGTGTTGTGGTTGTGTTGTTGTGTTGTGTTTGTGTTGTGTTGTGGTTGTGTTGTGGTTGTGTTGTGGTTGTGTTGTGGTTGTGTTGTGGTTGTGTTGTGGTTGTGTTGTGGTTGTGTTGTGGTTGTGTTGTGGTTGTGTTGTGGTTGTGTTGTGGTTGTGTTGTGGTTGTGTTGTGGTTGTGGTTGTGGTTGTGTGGTGGTTGTGGTTGTGTTGTGGTTGTAGTTGTGTTGTGGTTGTGTTGTGATTGTGTTGTGGTTGTGTTGTGGTTGTGTTGTGGCTGTGTTGTGGTTGAGTTGTGGTTGTGTTGTGGTTGTGTTGTGGTTGTGTTTGTGTTGTGTTTTTCTTTGTTTTGTTCTGTTCCCAAGTTGGTACATTTAAAAAGATTTACCGTGGCGGAGCACGGGTATGCAGCTAGTATAGATAGATTCGATAGGTTAAATGAGATTACTCCCGGTTTATTACTGTCTCGAATCGGAGAAAGATACAGGGGCAATACTGTAAGAGTGCAAACAATCTAAATCAAGATTTTAAATAAATATAGACGTTATAACCTTCCTGTGTCAGAAAAAAAAACTCTTTCAACTTTTCTCTACGTGAGTGTAAATGTGCGTAAGTATGTATATAAGTGTATGTATGTGTGTAAGTGTGTTTAACACGATAACTTGAATAACCTTTCAGTGGACGAAAGCTTGTATATAAGATCTTATACGCAAGTTTCTATAGACTTAAGCGATTTCATTAAAAGTGCAGATCTTAAGTACTTTATGAATTGATATGCGTTTTTTAGGAACCGGAAATAGAGTAAAGTAGTAGCCTACTCCCAATTTGACAGGAATCAGAATTATATCTTTTATTTATATGTGAACTTTCGTCAATCAGAAACAGTACTCGAGTTAAAGGTTTTTGAAAAACCGAAAGTAAATAAGTTAGGACTTACAACTAATAATAATATTATAAGTAATAAAATACGACTTACTATTTTTTTTACTCTTCCTATTGCTTTATTTTACATGGTGGCATCTATTTTTTAAATCTGGTAACCAGCGGCTGGAACAGGCCTGTGTATACAGTTTTAATGTTAAAAACAGTAGTACTCAGAATATTTTTAAAAAGGGGTATTCATTCAAATGATTTGCAATTGACAAAAATGTTCAGAAAAACTGTACAATCTAATTCAAATTTATATCGAAACAAGTCAATATCCTTAATGTAAAGCACAGAAATTTAACTGTTAATGAATATCAGTTTTTAGAAACTTCTGCAAAGATAGTAAGGAGGAATGAAAAAAAAAGAAAGGCGTGAAAGGTCACAATTTTAAATTTTAAAAAGCAGAAGTTTTCTAAAATTAAAGGTCAAGAGCTTTTTGCTCTTACAAAGACAAATACGCTGGTTTTTTTAAAGTTGGTCGAACATCTACAGGCATATATACATACACGCAAATGCTAATGTAAATCTAATTTCTCCACCGCAACCGACATCTAAACCTAAACTTAAACATTCAACCACTACCTGCAATTTTTCTGGAACAAAATTAAACCGGAAACGGTTCTTTATGTAAAAACTATGTCTTTAACCTGAATCGAAACTTTAACTGGAAACATAATTTTACCGCCACCTTAACATAATCATAAACCTCAATATAAGCTTCTGAACCGGAATCGGAAGCGTAATTTCAAAGGAAACAAATTTTTGTATCGAGAACGGGAATTTTAACCAGATCCGAAAATTTAATTGGAAACATAAACTATTCAGGGAATTAAATTTAACCGGAAGCTTTATCCAGAACGGCATTTAAACCTCAAATTTAGCAGGATCTGGAAATTCAGACATAAGCGAGAATTTATAAGAAAACGATACTTTATCTGGAACCCTTATTTTATACGGATACGGAAGTTTAACCAAAAGTGGAAATTGTACCAGTATCGAATGCTTAACAGGTACGTAATATAACTAGAGCATGATGCAAAAACGGCATCATAATCTGATCCGGAAAATTAACCGAACAAATTGCCAGAAATTATATTTAACCGGAAACTAAATTAAAAAACGAAAATGGAAATCTATCCGGAAGAGTTATTTTATCGGAAAACTAACATCTTAACTGGAACCGGAAATTTAAACGGAATAGAAATTTAATTGTTAACGAACTTTATTTGTAATCGGAAATATTATTGAAATTGTAGTATTAAAAGGAAATAAATTTAACCGGAAAAGGAACTTTAATCGAAAAATGCATTGTAATAAGTTCCGGAAAATAAACCGGAAAAGAAACTAAAAAATGCTAACTGCAATTTATCAGGAAACATATATTTTAACTGGAGCAAAAATTTAATTAGACACTTAACTTTATCCAAAACCGGCATTTTAACAGGATCCTGAAATTTAACCGCAAAGGAAATTTTTTGCCGGAAATGAAATTTAATCAGAAACTAAATAAAAATGGTTACCGAAATTCGAAACGAGCCGGAAATTTATCTGGAACTGGGAATAAATCAAAATCTGAATTTTATCAGAAAACGGAAATATAATCAGAAAAGGAATTTTAACTGGAAGCGGTACTTTAGCCAGAACTAGAAATTTTACAGGAACCGGATATTTAACCTTATCGTAAAACGACGTAATCATAAGTTTAACCTTATCCCTAATCATTATCCTACACTTACAATTTATTTGTCCAGTTACTATAAATTAAGAGAAACGACGTTTTAGCGTATGTGCACTACTATGTTATGTATCAGCACGTTTTGTATTTGCTTAACTAATTTATTTTCAAAATATCTAATTCCGTATGCCATTGTCTCTCCCATCCATAATTTTAAAAAAGGTGAGTTAAATGGTCCGTTTTGCTGCTTATATTTTTTTGCTGTAAAACATACGTTCTAGAAAACAGTTGTATAGATCTGTAGTGCTACGTAATATTTTGATTTCTTAAATCATACTGAAAATAATGCACCGATGCAGCTCAAAATAAGCATCAATATATATATATAATTCTCTTCATGGACAAGATGACGCAAGCCGACTATCTAACCCTCCTTCGCCCCCTCCATCGATCTCGATGCATGCGCAATAGAGATATTGGACCTTCACGGGCTTCTGATATTATTTTAAAGCAAAATATTTTCAGTCGAATTCACATATTATGAATTACTGAAAAGTAGAAAATAA